CAAGTCAATAGTTATTCATCCACTTTTTAAGAATACGACAATTCAAGGTATTGTATACAAAATATACATTTTAATATTTTTAAAAATTATTTCTAAGGACTTCTAGGTAGTTTTTAACTACTATATGAAGATTGAGAAATACATCCTAAAACATTCATACCTGATCGAAAGCACTCAATTATTTGTTGAATACCAGATTTGGATGTCTGTAGTGGCTGCTGTAACAAAGGAGGATCTCCAGGTTCCAGGACATAAACTACATGGAAAACAAACACCCACCCCAATCCCCACAAAAAAGGGTTATTTAAATCATTTACTCTTGAAGTACAATAATGGTTTGCTACAATTATGTTAAGGACAATCACACTTGCATGTGTGAGTATACACACAACATTCACATACATATAAAATGCACCAGTGTCTTTTTAAGGCAAAATGAAACAATAGGGAAAAAAACCTAAAATTATCTCAATCAAAGGCTAAATTAAGGCTAGATATTAGGTTTAAATACAAAAACCTTATTATTTAGCACACATTCTTCATGTTTGCCTTTTTATTCCCCTTGAAGAGGAAACACCATTTTTAATCAAAATTCTAAGGCAATGGTTGACTAGCCACACCTCATAAACCATTCCAAAATCCTCTGGATAATCTGGTACAGCTCTCTGGATGGTTATGAAAGCAAAACTCAAAAACCAATGCCCAAGGAAGTAACTGGACGAGTTGACAATGATGGGTGTACAAGAATGTTCACTGTAGCACTCTGCATAGCACTATACACAATAGAGAGAAATTTCAAACAACTTAAAAGTCTCTCAATAGGGACCAGACTAAATAAACTATGAAATATCCATACAACAGAATCAATCATGGCTGTTAAAAAGCATGAGCTAGTTCTGCATGTATTGACAAAAAAAAAGTATGGCAATAATTGTTAAGCAACAAAAACAGGTTATAGAATATGATCCTATTTATGTTAATAAATATTTAGACAGATACAGAAATATTTCAATTTAATGTATATTTGTGTATATATATGTATAAATACTAATGTAAACAGAAAAATCTTAGAGGGATACCAACAAAATTTAACAAAAGTTCTGTCATGGTGAGTTTACAGGGATGATGTTTACTTTCTGCTTCACACTTCTCTACTGCTTCAGAGCCCAGGCTTTTAGAAGTGTACATTTTAGAAAGAATACCTTTTTACAATAAGTAAAAATAATTTTCCATTTTAATTCCAAAATATTATGAATTAAAATACACTCCTATAGGTTTTTTTTAATTTGGAAATAATTAAAAAATTTAGCTTTAAAATAACCAATTTGAAGAAGTAGAAGTATTTCTAAAATTTACAGTCTCTTAACAAAAGGAAACAACAAAATAATGATTAAATGTCTAATTTCACACTCTTCTGAACTTAAATTCAGTTCATATTGATACACATTATGAATAAATTATGTTGTAGGCACTATGTACTTATTGATGTTAGGGCTGGAAATATGACTCAAACATAATATCTACATTCATATTACTTATAGAATATAAGTGGTAAAAATATAAATATATATGTACTCTGAGAGTATTAAAGAAGGGCATCTGAGCCAATCTGGGAAGACAGGGAAGATATGAGGAAATGCCACCTAAACCACCAATTAATCTATTATTCATGTAGGGAAACACAGTGTAAACTTGATAAATAATATTGTGAAATACTCATGTTTGTATGTATGTTTGTGCATGAGCACATTGTGTGTGTGTGTGTTTGTGTGTGTGTGTATGCATACATTTGGAGTTTGTGTAGGAAGATGAAACTATATTGGTCAATTTTTAGGCAAATTATTATACCATGGAATTTGCCTAATATTCTAATACAAACAATGTAATAAAAGGAAGCATTTTCAGTACTACTCAAAATTAAATTTCTGTGTCGCTAAAACACTAATGCCATATTGTATAATTATAATACAACTGATAAGACATATTTTACTGCTAAATATTGACTTCAAATCTGTACATTACAGGTTGTCATGTAGAAGAGTATAAAACTCGTAATAAATAACCTAATATGTAACATATTGTTTACACCTGTAGCAAAGGTCCTAAAGAATATTCATACTCTTCAACCAAAGAATTTCACTTCACAGTCTAACCAAAGGAAATAGGACGTAATCAGAATAATATTGTTTACACGGTGATATACATTATGCATTCATTAATATATTTGAAAATAGGGAAATGTCCTAAATGTTTAATAAGTCACAATTCATAATCAATCATATGGCCACTGGATGAACTACATGACTGTTTTAAAAATGAAACCTTTAAATTCTA